AGTTTCAATTTGACTGATTTTGAAGCTGTGTATTTTGATTACTGCTTATGTACGTGAGAGTCCCCCACCTTACCATCGAGGATAACACGTGGAGTCACCCTTGCTAAAATGTGACCACATGCTGAAAATTAAGTCGTCTTCGATAAATATATCATGACAGAGCTTTCTAAGAGAAATAATGATATTCAGATGAAAAACTCCCTATATCATACAATTATGAAGCGAAAAAATGCAGATCCGCGTTTTTTGTTTTGTTTTGTTTTTGACTAAATTATCGTGGTCGCTGTAGGCGAAATAGCTTTGTTAATAACCTACTCTCCTCATAGAATTGTGGCAGTTCATAATTGTTGATTGAAATGCTGCTTTTTTTGTTTCTTCACACCTTTACAAGCATTTCCATCATTTTATTCGTAGGTTTCATCATTGAGACTATACGTTTTGAAGGTCTACTTTTGTCCAGCGTTTGCATAAAGTATTTGTTTTGAGTTGTAGAGATAATAAGCGCAATGAGTTGCGCTACTTATGAACACTCATTTTAGGTTTTCTCTTATTGGATCGGATTTAATTCTGTCCTGCCCTGATGAGGGAAGTTGTTTGGATTATGAAAAACAACAAGTCCACCACGTTTTACTGGTTGATGCTCAAGGTGGGTTTTTAAAAATTCGTTCAATCTCAAAGAACCAGTTTCTAAGAGTAAAAGCTACTAAAAACTGCGAAGATGTACTGTTATAAATAGCTCTAGGGCACTTTAGTGATTATAATAAGCTCAAAAATAAATTAGATAGACTCATTCACTTTGCTCCTCCAACGTACACATTTGTCGATATACTTAAACACTTACGATGGTTAAAGTCGAACCTGTGTCTAACGAGATTTCGCTTAGTGGAAAGCAAAACAAGGAAATTTTACATTTATAATGTATAAGTTCCTCCCCAATATTGTAGGAAAAAAGGCAGCTCCTATTCATATTACAATCAACGTACAAGATGTTAACGACAATGGGCCTCGTCTAGAAATATCTGACAATCATATACGACTTTCCAATAACAGACTTATTGCGCCCTTCCTTGTCCAGGTAAGCTCGTCGATTTGTTTTCAAAATCTTGATGAATTTTCGTCAGCCATTGCCTTTAGGTCCTGGACGGCGACAGTCCGAGTGCAAATAAGAATCATTTGGCACTTAGTGGAAGCGCTGCTAGTTTTCTAAGTCTTTCCAAAGTATCCAAGAACCTTTACCAGGTATGTTCAGGCTTTATTGCAATTCTTTTTCGTGTAAACTCATTCAATCAAGATTGACGTCACTGGTTTCGCTGCTTCTGGCAATCATAACTTAGAAATTACCGTTTCTGATTCGAAGTCGTCTGATAAAGTGGCGGTAGACGTCCAAGTGCAGGTATTTGAAAGTCTTTGAATGAAATTTTGGTACGCGTTTCAATGTTCTACTCCAGAATTCTCGCTCTCATGCTCGCTTCAGGCGAACGAAATACTCGCGATCCGTCACAGCTGATAAAATACACGAGGGTTAGGATAACCTAACAAAATAAAATCCTAGCAGATTTAAATTTACTATTCCAGGCAATCAACTCCTGCAGGTAGAGCTGGAGGGTGTTCCTATAGATGAAGCACGCTTTGTAATTTTGCAAGGAAATCCCGGCTGGCTCAGCATAGACGACTACGGTGGACGTGTCGGAATAGCGAAGTTCATTAAGTTTGTTTTGCTATTTAATTCTTCTTTTCGCATATCAATGACGAGAGTAGGGTATAGTCACATTAAGAAATGAAGCAGTAGGAAAAACTTATATACCTTTCCGCATACATCCTCATAATGTATACATTTCTGTACCATTTGTCCAAAAAATGGCGGGAATTCGTTTATTAGGACAATCTAAAAATCAGTTATTTTTTTCTAAAAAATATACTAGCAATGGAAGGATTCGGCTAAAACTGGAGTAGCCAGATGCGCCGAAACGCTGATTTCAAACTGCTTTCCCTATTTGCTGAGCAACTTCCCGAAAAGGTTATGCAAAAATTTTCTACCCCGTATAAAGTGCGACGTTTGTCGCACTTTAGACGGGGTAGAAAATTTTTGCATAACCGTCTAAAGTGCGATGTTTGTCGTCTGAATAACTTTGCTCTAGAACATAGGAGTGATAAAACATCATTTTTGTCTAGAACAGGAATTCTAGGTAAAGTATTTAGCATCATTATGTATGACATTTGGGCGAACAAACGTTCAACTTTTTACGGATCGTCAAGTGGTAAAGAAGACAGGTTTAGAGGCATAGTTTGAAGATAAGTCTAGAAATAAACATCTTGAAAAGATTTTAAGAGGATCATCTTCCTAGTATATAATATACTCTTCGAATTCCTTTCCCTAGATATTCGAAGCACTATTCCAGTTAAACTTCATCATTTTTCTAAAGCGCTCCCGTTTTTAGTACTATATTCCGGCAATTCAACAAGTGGTAGTCATTTCAGGGAGGTCGAAGCAGGAGA